TATCCCCTAACCTCTCTCCATCTGGCAACCATCAGTTTGTTTTTTGTCTCTATGAGTGTGTTTCTGTTTTGTTTCTTCGCTTGTTTTTGAGATTCCACATCCACGTGAAATTGCATGGTGTTTGTCTTTCTCTGTCTGACTTATTTCACTTAGCATAATTTCAGTCCCTTTCATGTCTTGTTCTTCTGAAATCTGTCCAACTTCCCTGTTTAAATTACAGAGCCCAAATTGAATAAATTATTCCAGGGTCTGACCAGCGTTGTGTTTCAACACTCTGTGCTCTGTTTATGGGTCCTTCAATTCCCATGTGTTTGCCCAGCAGGGCGTGGCCTGTGGCTGGGCGGCCTGTCACAGGCTCCCTGTGGCCAGGCCAGGCTGCTGCACAGCTGGGAGAGTGTGGCACAGAGCGATGCTTTCTAGAGTGTCTGCAGGCCCCAGGCTCCTCTGAGGGCTCCGGCCTTCTACCCCCAGCTTCCTTTAAGCCAGGGCAGCTGTCCTCTTAGCTGTCTAATATGTAAGAGCTGGCGTAGACTTTTATTGGAGATAACAAGAGGTTGTAGTTCTAAGATATAAGCTGATGAACAAAAATAGCAGAGACATAGAAGCATCAAACAGACCGTTAAACCTCAGAGGGAAGGTAGGGGAGGGTAAGGGGGAGAGAGAGAGATCAAACAAATGACTTGTATGCATGCATATAAGCCTAACCAATGGACACAGACAACATGGGGGGGAGGACATAAGTGGGGGGTTGAGGGTGGGGAGGCAGTTGTGGGATAAAGCGGGTTGGGAGAGGCCAGTGGGGGGGGCGGGGGAGGAGACATATGTAATACTTTAAAGAATAAAGAATTTGAATACATACATACATACATACATACATATTTGGTAATCACGATAGAGAAAACCTATAAGCTTTGGAACAAGACAGCAAGGAGTCTGGATCCTCAATCTGCCACTCTCCTTACTGTGGGCGAGCCATTTAATCTCCCTGCCCAGGGACTGTCTAGAAAATGGGTCTGAATCTTACTTTGTAGGGTTATTGTGATGATTCCTAGGAATTTACACAAAATGTCTAGCACCGTGTGTGACACGTAGAAGCACCTTGGTAGCAAGACACTCTTCGTATTTGTGTTATTGGAAAAAAATTCAGTGTCCTTCTGAGGACGTGTCAGTACCATCATTTTGAAGTTATGACAGTTAGAACAGTCATTTATTATGACAGAGCTTTTTTATTTTTGGTAGATTTCTATTTTATTCAGGCCTGGAGTCATGTTAATGAATTTGTTGGATTAGATGGTCTAAAGCAGATTTCCACTAAAACATAACATGAAATATTGAAAGGAAAGGGACACTGTTAATCTTATGCCTCAGTTTCATGGTGGAGCCAGGCTGTTTCTATTTTTGATTATGTTCCGTAAGAAGCGGCTAATTTTAGACTGCAGTGGCAAACCTTTCAAGTCCCGTGAAACCTTTTCCTTTGATGTGCTGCGTTCAGCTCGGTGCTCTCAGCACCCAGCCCCGTGCCTGACACAGAGCAGGTGCTGTGCAGCTCTGCGTGGACGCGGAGGGCGGCCTGGACTGGAAGCCACAAGCAGCAGCAGACCGGACCCGGCCGCAGATCAGTGAGGGGAGGAGCGATGGGCCTAGGAATGCAGTCTTATTTGGTGGGACAAATGCTCTGGAGGAGCAAAGCAAGAACTTAAGGGCCTGGTGGTACCTGCCTAGTAGAGTGTTTCCTTGGCCAAAGTGACCTCAGAGGAGAGAGTCAGTGCTCCACCATGGCTCGTGGGGCGGGGGGAGTGTAAGAAAGCAGGTCAAGCACGCTGTCCGGACCCATGAGCAGCATGGCCCAGCACAAGGACTGAGAGTGTGGTCAGATAGCTGAGGAAATTCATTCGCATAAAGGGACCTGCTAGAAAGATAAATCCGATCATGCCATCCCTACTGAAGCTGAGTGTGTGGCTTCCCTTCATACTGGATAAACACAGCTCCTTTCAATGTCCTGCAGGGCCTTGGTGAGTGGCCCCTGCCCACCTCGCCAGCTTCACTTCAAACCAGGCTTCCTCTGTCATCAGCTCCAGTGGCATTGACCTCTCAGTGCCCCAAGCCACGTTGTCCCCGAGCCTTTGCACCTGCTGCAGGACCCCCTCAGCTCCCTCGGGGCTGCAGTTCCTGTCTGCCTCTGGCCCTCAGCTCCAAGGTCACAACTTCAAAGAGGACTTTGCAGTTCACCCTGTCCAATCCCTTGCTTTATGTCCTTCTGAATGAGACCAAGGTTCTCAAAGATCTTGGTCATTTACTAGCTTACGTTTTCACTCTTGGTCTCCCAGATGAAAGAGAAAATTCCTTAAGTGCAGGGGATGCATTTGTCCCCACTGTGCCGTGAGCCTGGCACAGTGTTTGGTACAGATCACATGCCCAGGGGGCTGCCGAATAAACGTATGATTGAGTGAATGGGAACAAAACTTGGCTGGTGGGTGTGCTTACCTGAAATGGTCACTATCAGTACCATGTAGTGTTTTATGACGGCACCTTTAGATCTTTCAGAATAGGGAAATAACTTATAACATACTAAAAAATTATCACAGAAAAACATGTGCATAAGTATAAATGGCTATTATTTTCCTTGTGACAACTTAAAATAGCAATGGTTTCTTTTCATTTCATTTATATGTGGTATCTGAAAAAAACACACAAATGAATTAACAAAACAAAGCAGAAACAGACACATAGATATAGAGAGCAAGCTGATGGTTACCAAAGAGGAGGGGTTTGGGGAAGGTGGGTGAGAATCCAATATAATAAAAGGGTAGTATGCAAATTGTCCCCTCCACTGGGAGTTGTCTGGGAGTTCGACCAGGGGGCGGGGTTGGCCACTGGAAGGGAGGGAGGCCCTGGCTGGTGGCAGTGGCAAGTGGCTGTGGGAAGGGAGGGAGTACCTGGCCAGCAGCCGGCAGCTGCTAGGGACCGTACCAGTACATGAAATTCATGTACTAGGCCTCTAGTAAATACATACATACATACATACATACATACATACATAAATAAAGGAACTAAGTACTGTACGTGTCAGAACAGTCACACAAGACAAAACACAAAATGAAAAAGAAACAGATTTTTACACGCTTCCATCTCAACGGGAGAGTAGGCTGGTAAATTTTCTGTACATGCCTACAAGGTTATACTGCAAATATCCACTCCCACACAACATCAGAGGGCCGCTTTTTCTAACCTGGAGATAACCTGGAGAGGGTGTTTGTAATTTCCTTCAATTTGTATACACACAATACATGGCTGTACATACAGACATTTA